CCGAACAGATGTTGTCTGAACGGGTGAATTTTCAGGACTGGAGGGGGAAGAAGGTGGCTCATGTAGGCTGGGCAATTGTGCTGAAGGGAGCGTGGCAGAGGCTGCTGCATTGCCCAGTGCTGTGCACTTGTTTTATTTTCCATGTGGTGGCCAAATGGCTGGTAACGAAGAGAAGCTTTGCAGTGTCTCCTGCCCCAGCCTGACAGAAGTAAGGGGGTCAATGAAATGTTCCCCAGGTGATACACAGTGAGGATGCCAAACAGGTGGAGACAGCAAAGGTGGGGGTGGGAATCTAACACAATTTTGGAAGGATATGGATAAGGCCAAGGGGGATTCAGCAGAACCCACCCCTAATGTTGCAAGTGGCTCCTGCAAGAGGCCATGGGAGAGCACACAGGCACGTCTCAGCCACAAAGTGCCACCTTCCCCAATCGCCTACACGGCTTCTTCAAGCCAGACACTCTTCCACATGAGTTGCAGTTCAGCCTGCCCACCTCAGGGAGAGCCCTCACCACCCCAGCCCAGGGATGATGGCCGTTCCTACGAGCCCTGTAGATGCCCGGGCAAATAAATAAAAAACTGGGAGATGGACTTTCCCTTGGGGCTTTCAGGGTGGCCGAGTGCAGGAGCAAGGTACAAAACACTGCAAAAGCGATGAGGAAGAGATGGGTGTTGCAAGGGTGCCTCTTTATAGGAAGGGATAGAGCACCTTTAAAGCGCAGTGGCATTTAACTGCTGGTGCAAAAGCAGCCAATGGCCCCTGGCCAGGCACACAGCAAGAGGAGAACATGCACCGAGACCCCAGGAGCATTTGTGGACATGCCGCTCTCCCCATTTCACCTCAGCAGTCACTGGAAAAAGGGGTACAGGCAAGACTAGCTGGACCCCATTGATTGCTTGTAGGCAGCATCACCCCGTTTGACCAGTATGCAGTGCTGGTTGGCTAGGTCAGGACCCTGCCCATGGGTGCTCACTCCACAGTGGATGTTCCCCTGGGTGCAGGGGCAGGGGGACTCAGCCCAGCCTGGAGCACTGGATAAACAGAGCCTGCAAAAATGCAGAGGAAACTGCACTTCCTTAAACTGCTGTAAAACACGATGGAAAGAAACATTTAATAAAAGCTGCTAGGCAGGTATCATTTATTTGGCTTTTGCCAAGGCTTTTGATAAAATCTCACGTCAGAGACTATTAGAGCACCTTATCAAAGGTTAAAGAGGCAAAGTCCCCATTTGGTGACAGAAAACAAAGACAGGGAACATCTGCTCCTCAAAGTAAAAAGGAGCAAACACCAAGGCACAGCAGAGGCCACTACTGGCATCATTATTATTTAATATAGCTTGTATATTAATGAGCCACAGGAAGAAGAGAAAAACAAGGTAAGGAAAGCCAACAGCACAAACTTACTTTGTTAAAACAGAGAGAGGTGGGGGGAAAGCTATGCTGAGATGTGTTTTAAACACAAGAAATTAAAATTATTCCACCAAAATTAAAGTTTTTGTATTAAAAGCATATGACCAGCCTTACATGCCAGTGGAAGTAGTCTCAGTACACTAAACCTAGTATTCAGCACAAGAGGGGCTGAACCAGCCACTTCACTGTGAATTCTGCAATGAGAAAAACAAAATCACTTTCACTGCCATTTCTTACCCTGGTTTTAATCAGCAATATTTTCTCATGCTCTTGTGATGCTGCAGTTTCTTGGTTACAAACATTGCAGGGGGAGGCTGCGCTGTTTAATTTAAAAAGAAGTTTCTGCTGACCTTCAAGAAATAAAACAGACTGAGTTCAAATGCTGATCATTTTGTAAACATCAAAGATGAAGAACCAAGTCAGAAACCTACATGGATCAGAAATATGGCTTAGATTTAACCTGGATGTATACACAACAAAGGACTTTGGCCAAAGAAATCTGTGCTGTTAATAATCCATGCTCCGAGTCATCCAAGGAAAAAAGACGGAAGAAATGCAGGCCCTGCACCTGTAAAGGTTAAGGACATCTGTCACATCCTCGTGTCAGCACAGGAGGCAGCCAGCTTTGATGTGACTGAGCGATCAGGCAGCACCCAGGGGTCACAGCACAGCAGGCTCTGTTGTCTTTTTTTTCCTTTTTGCACTTCCTAAGGTGCGCAGAGCTGGCTGTTCTCGTGGCATCGGACCAAATCGCTTCAAATCATGGAATTTCTCCTGCAGATTTTGCACACAGGCAGGAAAAAAGCCTTTTGGGGAAAAAGAAAAAAGGCCATTTGATATTTTTTTAAACTCTAGAAAACAATTATTTAACTCTAGGAGAATGTTACTTGAAGCTGGTGTTCCAGCAGTGTGGGCTCTCACCAGGGCTGCTGGATCCATCTCTACTCCTTTTGGGTTTTGCTTACGATCCTGCACCGAAAGGACATTCCCCTGGATGCACAGGATTCCCTTTCTGATCCCACACGTCCTCCAGTTGCTGTTTCAGCTGTGGGGTCCCAGTAGAAGCGTGGGGTACGCGCGTGCTGGGTGCAGTAACAGCGACCTGAAGCTGCAGTGGAGATGTAGCTCGCTGCTCCCTCTTGGTTTATTTTGCTGGCAAGGCCGCTTTCCTGCCCGCTGCTTTCCCACACAAAGGCCCACCCAGCGCAGGCAGGAGAGACCAGTGCACGTGTCCACGGGGGCACAGCAGATCCACTGAGGATGCTCCACCACTGCCCATGCCAAGAAGCGTGCTTTCAATTAATCAGTGCTGTCAGTTATGCACAGTGATCACCTCCAAACCCCGGGCCTGTTTAGTTTCAGCTCTAGAGGGTCACATGCATACCAGTACTAATGGGCTCCATGGATACCCCTGCGTGTTTTCCTTCCTGGTGACCCTTTCCCCCATCCGTGTCTTCAGATGTGACCGTCCCATCCCCAGAAATCATGAAAAGGGACAGAGGCAGCCCCAGCACCCACAAGGCAGGTACCTCCCTCCCACTCCTGTGTGTAACACGGGGCACATGGCAGCATCACCAGATATCACCACCTTGGCATGAATTTCCATATATTCAGGTTTTCTTTTGGCCATGCTACCACCTGGAAATCTTAATTATTTTTTTTCCCCCTTATATTAAAGAAATAAGCATCTAGCCCTCATGGATGTGGAAAAAAAATATGAAAATATGATTCAGTTCCCTCTTCCCTCCCAAAAAAATTAGAAAGGAAGAAACTGTAAGTCAGGGTCTAAAAATCAGCAACGTTCATTTTTTTCCTTTTATCTCATGGTTTTCCTTATGTTTCATGATTTATTTTTTTTTTTAAATGAGCTGCTGGTGGTAGAGGCGATGGCTAAATGATGGAGAAACGTTAGATCAGAGCATCCAATTACCACCCCTCAAGATACTTAGGGGATTTTTTTCAGATTGAAATAATTTATCAAGGAGCATGCAAGCATGATACGAAGCCAGTGCTCAGTAAATCAGCTTGGATAAACGGCAATCGGATGATCTTGAGATCTTCCACTGCCTCTCCCTCTGAGATGGAGGGAGAGGCACCAAAGAAGAGTTCAAGCTCCAGGTCAGGACTGTGGGTGCCTGAAAATCAATTAATTATATAGATAATATTAGTGACTTCCTAAAGGTGCTCAGTACTGGGAGCTCCCATGCACCTCTGGTCCTCTGCACCACGGTCCAGGGGCGCTACATTCGCTCAGAGATAAAAAGAGTAATTAAAATCAGGCCAAGAAAAGCAACATTTTAATTTCTTCTCTTTCTGCTTGTTTTGAGGCAGGACTTTTTCAAAGACGGTTGCACAAAAGGCAGCCTTTGAATTAACAGGCAATTACTTAATTAGGTACTTAATTTCAAATTACAAGAAGTGAAGTGCCTTTTTTTAATCTAGTTGGCAATGTAAAACTGGGCCCTATGCTATCCATAACACTGAAATCCCCTCCTTCCTGAGGAAAACACGTCTTGCATGTAAAGCAAGACAAGTTTTAAGTGAGAATCGTGGACTTTTGGCTTTAATCGGTCTGGAAAAGGATCTTCAGAAGTAAACCACTTTCAGGTAGAAAAATTACATGAGAAGACACTGGAAATCATACTTGTTAAAGATATGTCAGATTCCAGTGGTTTATATATTAAATGTGTAAGAAAATACGGGACGTTTTGCAAATCAGGGATGGAAAAGGGTTGACTTAGGTAAATATTCTCGGACAAGAAGGGACGTCCTGGCTGTGCGGGTACTTAAACACAGTGCAGCCTTCTTTTGGTTGCACTGAACTCTTCACCACTTGTTTCAAAACAAAATTACGTTTTTTCTGAAGCATGCTCCAACCCAGATTTTGGGTAAAAAAAAAAGTCACCAGCTGACACACCAGCCGGGGTGCAGTGCTCCTGCTGTGGTAACTGCAGCCCTCCACGGGCCACACACCAATGGGGACCCGTGGAGATGACACCTGAGGGCTCCTCCAGTTCCCCAGGGCCATGGTCTTGGTCTGCATCCAAAAAAATTTAACATTGGTTAAATTTTGCCCATCGTCAAATCTACCTGACCTCCTCGGTTTCCATCTTGCCCAACTTTTGCGCGCAGCATGGATCCAATGTGACTGTTTCTAGGCAAAATTCAGCACAGGTGGAGACGAGCGCAGCGTCTCCTCAGCTCCGGCTAAATTTTGCACCCAAACCCCAACATTTTTGTCGTTCAAGGACAACATCTCGGAGCAACGAATTTCACATGAGAAACGTGCGCTTTGCGGAGATAACGTTAACATTCGGACAGCGGGGTGTCCCGTGTCCCGTCCCCCCCCCCGCTCCCTCCAGGAGCTAACGGTCACACCCCTGCACCGAGCATCCCGCCGGCTGGGATGCAACAAGGGCTGGAGGAAACGACCCGCACTAAAAACTTAAACCCCGCTTAAAAACCGGCTCCGCGCCTCAGGATGACGCCTCCTCCCGCGAACGGGACTCCCAGCCC